GATGATGTCACTAACATCCAGATGTTCAAGAACAGGAAACCAGTGAGGGCAGCCAATCAGAAGAAAGGGATCTTTAAGTGGGCGGTCTTAAAGAGGAACATGTAAACCCACATGTGTGCTGTCAGTAAGTGTGTGCAGTGTAGATGTTCAGTCATGTCTCCAAATGTCAGTTTTTAGCCACTAAAACACATCACGTCCTGCGTTTGTCAAATAACTGAGAAAAAGTTGAAGAAAAACTGAACTTGTAGAACTTACAGGAGACGTTTTTAATCTTCAAAGTACTTAAAAGCAGGATAATTGCCAAACTGAGCTGACTATCAAATCATTTATGTCCTCTGATCCATAATCACAGAGTCCTATACAAATGTCACACAGACTCGTCAGGTAGGCGCTGCAGATGCAGAGGCAGACGCACGCAGAGCAAGCAGAACAAAAGGTGAAAAGGTAAGAAGGATCAGCTCTGCTGACAGCACGCAGACAGCAGATCAGTCAGCGTCCCTCGACTCCGACATGCCGACAAAAACACAACACGACTGCGAGCAGGTTCACGCTTGGGGCGTGACTCGACTACAGCACGCCTGTCAGGATTTCAACTACTGTCACACTGCTCGACAAGGCCTCGCGAGGCAGAGGAAGGAGGGGAAGGAGGGAAGGAACCAGAGCTTGTCAATAGAAACCTGTGAAACTGTCAGTCAACAAACCAGAGGAAAAACATCTATATAATTTTAATCAATCCACTGCAGAAGAACACCAATAAGACTTAAAGAAAGGAAAGTTTCTCAGCATGTTTGATCACCTCCAAACTAAAACGCAGCAGCCAGGCTGCTAACATCTTCTAGCAAGTACAGCAAATGACCAGGCCCCAGATTATTAAGCCAAGCTTCTTATAAAACACACAGCAGCTCGTTGTCTCTGTCACAGGCTCAGAGTTTGTTGGAGCAAAGGGGGCGGAGCCTTTCAGTCTGTGGACCAGTTTACCACCACAGCTGTGATTGGTTGACTCTGTGAAATCCTTTAGAAAGCAGTTAAAACCTTTTCTGTTCAAACAAGCCTTCTGTTGATCAATGCTTTTAAACATGTAACCCTTTCTATTGCTTATATTTTCTATTTTATTTCTTCTGTTTATTTCACCCTTCATGCTCAGCGCTCTGTGACCGCATGTCTATGAAAAGCTCTTAATAAATAAACTTTACTTCCTTAAAATCTCAGTAAAATATTACCAGACCTATATTACTTCAATATTAGCAAACAAACTAGCAAAAACACTTCCACCAACACGTTTTCCCTCTTGGACGCATCACAAACTATTTCTTGCATCTGCTCTCGATTTGTTTTGACACGTTCGTTTGTCAGCAGGTTCAGTTTACCCCACCCTAAAAACTAAAAGCACCTCCAACATGTGATTGCAGCCTGCAGCACAATGACCCTGCAGGACCTCCCACACCTCCATGTAGCTGCATTTAGCTATCAAAGGAGCTTCCATCAGGCCACAGACTCTATGTTAATGTGCAGGACAGACAGACTTCAACATCATTGTCCCAGCTTCCACTATGTTTTTAATATTGCTTATAAAATATTTTTTAGTATGTTGCTTTGTTTTGTTTTTTTTGCTTGTTTTCTATTCTTT